CATCAACGTTCCTCGGGATGAGCGCAAACGTCCACAAATTGTGCACTGTTCCACCTGAACATCACAAATAGAAAGAGTAAAAAAAAAGTTGATTTTTGCTGTTGTTGATTTGTTTTTTTTTGTATTACCTAAAACGCATATCATCATCATTTTCTGGACTGGTAAAAAAAACAGCTATGATTGATATGAAAATGCCACCAGTTCGAATGAGTTTGTGTCGATTGATTGTTCGCGTTGATGAAATGTGACAATGAAGTGTCCGTGGGGAGAAAAACAAAAACGAAAACAAAAAAAATAAAACGAAATCAAATGTACATTCTTCCGATCCAATCCTCTGCGGTCTCCAGGACAGATGATGAACAACAGCATCTTCTCGAAGTGTGTTGAACAAAACAGAAAAACGAATTGATTGACAGGTTCTTTGGGATGTAAGGCATTTGGTTTCGGAGTAGACTGCAGCCCCTGAAGAAAAATGAAGTAAATATAAATAGAGAACGCAGTTTAGTTTCGCTATACGGCCATGCGAAACGTTTTCCTCTCGTCAAACTTATTTTTCATCCATCCATTCGGAATTGTAGATAAACTTTGTCTGAAACGGTAGCCTGAAGCAACTTGTTTAAATTTGTATAGCTTTTGACAAATACCAGATAAAGAGAAACCATCGAAGAGAAAACAGTTATTAATTAATTTTTAAACAATTATCGTGGAGCAAAGTGACTGATTTCAATTGATCACATCCATTGATATCGGTGGTTGTTATTTTTAAGACAAAACTACACCTTTTCCCATCAAGCGTTAGCCAACACCCAAAATACTTTAGCCATGACCCATAGTTCTTTAGCCTTCGAAGCACAAACTTCAGTCATATTGCTCTGAGCGAGTCAAATTAAACAGTATCGGAATAGTCTGAAGTTAACGAATGTTGGAAAAAATTATTTTCCATAAACGTCGATGTTGGAAAGCTTGGTTAGGAAAGAGAAGATGTCGCGGTCGCATACTGCGCCATATGTGAATGGGAGAAGGTTTAAGTGATGTGCCTGAATAGTCAAACCATTTGGCTCGTCTTGCACACAGCTTCAGTGTTTCCGTATAACATGCGATAATCCATATGAGTAAAATTTTCAAATGTAACACAAATGATACATTGGTTGGCATTCACAAATGAACTCTGTTCGTGAGAGATGGGTACATAAACATGCCGAGAATAATAAGCACCGTTCACACCCCATGGCTATCATCAGTTTATTAACGCTGCAGTGAAGTCTCTAAAAATTACGGATGTTTCTACAGTTGTGTGCTAAAAGGAGTCTTTTGTGAGCATTGTTTATTATCCTTGAACTGTTAATTTGTCCACACCTCAAATCGGAGTTTTCTTTGAGTTGATATAAGGAACTGTCAGTACTTACATTTATTATGGTATCACTTTTGAATTATTTCTGGGCTTCGGAATGCCAACCAATGTATCATTTGTGTTACATTTGAAAACTTTACTCATATGGATTATCGCATGTTATACGGAAACACTGAAGCTGTGTGCAAGACGAGCCAAATGGTTTGACTATTCAGGCACATCACTTAAACCTTCTCCCATTCACATATGGCGCAGTATGCGACCGCGACATCTTCTCTTTCCTAACCAAGCTTTCCAACATCGACGTTTATGGAAAATAATTTTTTTCAACATTCGTTAACTTCAGACTATTCCGATACTGTTTAATTTGACTCGCTCAGAGCAATATGACTGAAGTTTGTGCTTCGAAGGCTAAAGAACTATGAGTCAAAGCCAATGTTTGATGGAAAAAGGTGTAGTTAATTACGCATACGCTTTCTGTCAAAGAGTTAGCATATTCGTTGAAACCCGCTTTGTTCTGTTGCAGCAAATCTGAACCAGGATAGATGAACTAGAGTAGTTGGTCAAAAACGCAAACCAATGAAGAAGGTTGACAACAATCCAGTCAATCAATCATTGGATATATTCCATTCCTATGTCTTTTCTCTTCCCGACAAATAAGCTTGATTTTTGTACGATAGGGGAATTTCTCCACGCTTCCAGCTCTGCTCCATTTCAATACAGGTAGAGTTCCTATCCGGGACGAGAAACAATGCCGGAAGACCATCCTCTGAGAATCCAGTATCGAGAAAACCGTGTGCGGTGACATTTATTCGATTCAAGCAGAATACGTTCAACATGCTAAAGCAGAAAAACGTTTTCGACAAACGTCTTAGCCTACCGTACACATCCTGTTCACAATGACTCAAGTCAATATACATCATAGTTGAGGCAACCATTTTACCATTTTACCACTCAACCACACCATGCCCAGTAACTCGAAATGACCTGCTCAGTCCAATCAGAGAGGCGCTTGTTTGCTAGATACTTTAGTGCTAGTGATAAATTTATTGTTAAACCCAACCAAGGTCTGTCTGGTTATTTTGTCTCTTGGGCCCCCACCTATGTCTACTAGTCTGGAGAATGAGCACCATTGGCGAGTCCCGTGAAGGATTTAAAAAAGCTTTCCGATGACACATGGGTACGTTGCACATCCAGTTGGTATCTAAGAAAAAAAATCAATGTATTTCTATCGTTATTTTTACTGCGAAATCGGATAAACCTTCAGTTCTAACAAACATGAGAACCTTAGAGCTCAATCGTTGCCTTTTCATTTTCTTATTAGATAAACATCCTTAGACGCAGAAAAAATCAGAATAAAAATGATTTAATAAAAAATATGTTGAATAAATAGTTCCAAGTTCAATTGGATTATTATCGTCATTCAGGGTTTACTCCAACAGATGCACATTTTGTGTGTGAAATAGCTTGAACTGTTCGATAGCAGTGGTGGCCCGGTGGTAACGTCACCAGATTATCACCCCGAAAGATGTGTGTTCAAATTCCACCACTATCACCCAAATTTCTCCATTATGTGTTGTACGGCAGCACATTTGATTGGCCGCATTTCCCTTCCTGAGAACTGTATCATTGTATATTCAATAAAGGGAAGTAAAATAATAAAAATATTGGAAACGAAAGTGAATGTTCCTCCTTGCAGTTTTCTACATTAGCTAAAATGGGTAGGGTAGAACACACAGAACAATACTACCTTTAGCGGTCGAATACAGCAAAGATTTATTGAATTGGTATCAGCATTTCCAAACTCTTTAAATTAGAAAGCAACGAGAAGGCCACATGATCTCAAGAAACAGTTTACGCTCACGAACAACTCATATGGAACATCACACGCAGTCTGCTAGTACACCTCTCGCCTAGGTTCATGAACGCGATTCTTTTTTCGTCTGTTTGTCTACCCCGGATTCTTGATGCTGATGTAGAAACAATCACTACAAAACGGACAGGGTAATCTGGGTTACGTGTTGTCGGTTTTGGAGAAAACACCATCAGGAGACTTGAAAATTCTAAAACCCATTTTATCGTGGTAGGTTGAAGGAGCCATGGGACCACCAATACGGTGCCTACCTTGCTTTCGGACACATCAAGGCGTCGAGGGTACTTCCTCATTGCTACCTAAAGAAAAATATTTGAACTGAATCATTGTATTTTGAAAAAAAAAATGGTCACATACAACAAAATTTCTGGTCTGAGATTTCATTTCTTGAAAATACATTTTTGCAGAGCAAATTATTTTATGATTTATCAGTCGTATTTCAAATGCTCTGTCGACGCGTGAATCAAGTTTCACAGTAACCTCAGTAAGTTACTTTAAATTTAAAGGATCTAACATTAGAACAAATTTTAATCTAATCCGATTCTGATTTGTGCTTTGTCATCCATAAAAAACGGTCAGAACTGACATGTGTCATGTGTGTCACGTGTGACATGATGAGATAGTCGATAAATTGCTAATATTCGCAAAAATGTACTCATCTTTAATGGGACTGGTTTATTTAACCATATCTAAAATTTTTGTGATTTTCAGTGTAGGACGTGTTAAAAGAATGTAAAATTCAAAATTGCGTACAGCCTGGAAAAAGAAATTTGGGTAGTCGGGGGTAGGCGGTGTGGACGGTCTGTTGCAATGTGCATATGAGTTCGACCACTATCATTGCCCTCCCTTTATTGATCGACCTCCTTGTATTGCCCATAGCCTAGCTCATCATTTGTATGTGCCGAGTGTATCCAATAATTGGCGGACAATTTGCTCATCTCATTTCTACCTGTGTTACTGTCGGCGCATCGATACACCTGCGCATGTGCAACTCATAATATCGTAATAACAATAATATTATCAAATCTAATCCTCAATTTCTCTCATGTAACATTTAGTCATGTTTGAAATGTTTCAGACTGATTCATAACCCTGGCTGCCAGTACTGAGAGGCGCGAGCTTTGCTGTCCTCATTAGACTGGCAAACATAGGTTGGGCTATGTTGTGTACGGGTAAAAGGTGAATTCATGTATATAACAAATGAAGCTTGAACTGAAAACCTAGGAAACACTGGACATCTGTTTTGACCTGTTTAAGTCTCATCAGCAGTGCGGATCCCTCGACCCAACTGGGGATTGAACCTGGGACCTTGTGGGTAGAACGCAAGCATGCTACCCTCTCGACCACCGGGCATCTGGTCAAACCGTTTTTTCATTTTCCATTTACATAATATGGCACAACTCATCTTTGCGAGCTTGTTGCGGACCACAGACCCTGCTCATCTCAGCGTTAGCCTCCAGTGTTATGACTCGGTTGGAAACATTTACAACATGAATGCTTATTTCAAGTGAGTAATGGAGGATTTGGTTCAATTTCAGGAATTCACCTTTGAAATTGAACCAAATCCTCCATTACTCAATATCGATTTATGTCCTTTAAAATTTCCATCTCGGAATTATTGGCTACAATGTACATTTGTTGCTTGCTCGTGTCGTTGAGTAATGACAGATTTTATTACCACAACTACTACTACAACCGTTAACAACAGTAGTACTTGAAGTGATGGGTAGTGATCATTCATATTATTCCAAACTTACTTCAGTTTATCCGCGAAATTTAAATCTTTGGAGAACGTGATTCTTTCGACAAGTTGCGCACTTCTTCTTCGTAACTCTGAATGAACTCAGTCTGTTGAAAAAAATGAGGAAAATTAACGAATTTCCTACTCACCATGAGCTGATTCCAACGTTCGGTGAAGGTGTTTGCAAGTTCACGTATCCTTGAGGATTCCGTTCTGGGTAGATGGAGTGGGAGTGGAGAGCAGTGTAAGTGATTCGGATCACCTGTTCAAGGATAGATACACTATCGTGTTCGATTCAGGTACATGTACACGCAACCGCTTAATGATTGATCGATGTGACATACACACTCATAAGCTTTAAAACGAGCACATACACCCAAACGGTGTGGCGTTTGGCCTTGATCAATCTGCCTCAGTAGATTTCACTGAAAGCAATTGTTTCTTCCCTCGGTTTCATATGAATACGTGTACAGTTAAGCTTCTACTTGCTCGCCGGTCTCCACATCGGTCGTGTGTATACCTACTACAAATGAATAGATTTATTTCCTTGGCGTGTGACTGATGAGTTCCCCAGGTTCCTTACCACAAAGCAGAACTTCGAGTACCGTTCTAATTGAACGGGCTAAGATTGTTCGAGTATGGTGATAGCTCCTTTGTGCTAAAATTTCAAAGCAGTTTATAATTTTATACAAGTTGTACTTTTGAAAACACAGCGATGTCGGTACAGGTAAAAATAAGCCGACGTTTCGGTTACCGTTGGTAACCTTTATCAAGGCGATTTTACAATTTATAATTTCATTTTGAACAGGAATTCCGTAGCGATTTGTAGTTGCACTTCATAAAATCGTTAGCTTGAATGCGT